CTGGTGTCATCAGTTTTGAGCCTTCCTTTCTCATTTCCTTGTCAACAAACAAATACTTAATATACAGCTGGATTATCTTTGCACATGAGTTTACGACACTTTCACAGATCACGACCAAGATTATGTTATCATCAGTAGAATATTTCGACATTTTGATCCAAAGTCTCCCTTCTTTTGTCTAGCATGTGCATGTGCAATTCAAATTGAGAAGATGACATTGTCATCTGCAATACCTTGTTCTAGAGGATTTCCAGACAAGACTGTCATTTTGTTTTAGAATCTTGGACCAAATACACACATATACTGAATATTCAATTGCAAATCCTCCAAATTCTGTTGATTGCATCCGTACATGGCATGTACAATTATATACAATACTAGACTGGTGCATGTTTACCATATTTTCCGGGTTATAAGCCACACTGATATATAAGCTGCAGGGCCAGTTTTTAGCGATTTTTCAATTTAATTTACATATAAGCCGCACTCTTTCTTATGATATGGTGACCACTGTTGTTGTCATTTGGTATACCGGTAACAGATCATGGGAGGCAGTTTATCAAGATGGTCAATGTAACATTTAATTAAGTTTCAGGAATTATTCACAAATAATCCTCTATCTTATTGATGTATTTCAAAAAACATAAAATAGCAAACATCAAACTTGTTTGGCTTGGGTGCCTTTACAGATTGTCTACGCACAGATATGGGGTCTGACATTATGTACGGTTTACTTAACAATCTCTCCATCTGTGTCAGTGTTAACGAAGGCCCTTACATGGTAACCAAATTCTTATAGTCCAATACTATTTCTTCTTGTAAGTTACACGAAGCCATACATATCGTAAACAGGCATGGCAGTTGTTCTATAATTTGACCTATAACCTGATGACCCATCAATCTTAGGATGCAAAAGGCTATAGTTAACTTTCACTATGGCTTTGAAGTAACTGTGAAATTCCAGAAGATATTATTGTGATTCAAATTAAAAAGATATGATTAATTAAATCCACGAGAATGTTACTTTTATGTCAATCATGTAATCATCCAGTATGCAATTGCAAATGACAGTTCCAGACAATCTGTTTCAGTCACGAACACGTGACGGGCAGATACTCGTAAAAAAAAAATGAGTACCATCCTGTACCAGTGTGTTGCTATGCTTCCTGGGTTTCCTTTTTCTATCCTGTCAAAATTTTTTTGTCAACATATAAGCAGCATGCCCAACTCACGAGGAAAAAAGGTGCGGCTTTAATCGGGAAAATACAGTAATTGTCTTCATCTTCAATGTGTTTGCTTTTATTTTGCCTTAAATAATTACATGTTAATGCAAACCAAGATCATTAAAATATGAATTTTCTTCCATAATACATGGTACAATTATTATAGGTTGATGAGGTTGATCCACTGTTTTACTACACCAGCCAAGAACAGTATCAACCAAGGACTTGGTACACTTCATTATACTTCACATAAAAAATACCGGCTGTAACTGGAGAAAACTTCTTAAAGATGATTACAATGATGTTGTACTCATTAATTGATTCTCCACCATTTTCTTTGCAGAAGTGATTAGTTCATTGATCAGCAGGAACATGCATGGCTATAACTGATTAAAATGTTATAGCTATAGGACAAACTCAGATGGATAGTTTGAAATACCTACAAACTCTAAAAATAAAAAATAAAAACTACATATACCTGAGCATTATTAAATCAATCTACTTTACTGGTAATTTGCTGAAAAGTAGTAATGGATATCATTGATCCAGTGATAATATAAGTTGTGACTTAAGCTCGTTCTCATAACACAAGTTTTACATGTAGAAAATATTTAAGGAAACAAATACAGACCTAACATGCTAACGATGGTATTGTGCACCTGTCTAAAACAGGGTGGTACATAATTAATTAAAATGCAAACGCTTGTCATCGGCGATCAATACTAGAGATAATTGAGTACATAAAGGTCATAGATATCCAAGAACCACGATCTGTCGTATTCCCTGATCCATAAAAAGAAAAAAGAAAACCATGGATCCATCATTTTTCATCAAGATTGTAATATTGGTATGGTCTGATCATTGTACTGAAGTAATCTGTCTGAGCCACCTTACAGTTCAATATTTTGTGTTTGATCAGTGATGTTCTCTATACTCAGAGCTCGCTATGTGAAAATAGACGAAAAAAAAATCTTTCACATATATATATATATTTATCTTAGTTGTTTGTGTTTAGTAAACAGTAAATAAACGTAACAAAAGGTCACAGAATTTGGTATTGGATTGATTTAAGGGGCACTTGCTCCCTCAATAAGGTCATCAGTCCCTCAGAAATAAAAATGTAGTGGAACTACTGATACAAAAAAAATGAATGTCTGATCACTAAGTGAATGATGTAGCATTTTTATTAGGTTGAATGGTTGAAGGCTGTAGTGACATGATGTGTGTCATTAATACTCGTGTCATGCAGTATGTGCAATGTCTGTATTTGTCTAGATCAGTAACAATATAAACATATCACTGCTCCTTCCTATTTATTAACAATGTGAACAGACCTCCACATATCAGTATATAGGGTGTAGTCTGTAGTTGCAGTGGAATTGGTTCTAAATAAAGTTAGAAACCCATGTGATATGTCGAATCAATGGCTGCCAATCTGCAGGTAGTCATTATTATTTAGATGGTGTTATATTAATGATTGCTGCCATGGTTACCAAATAACAATACAAATAGTTTGATTAAAACAAATATGATTGCAGAAAATCAGAGCATTTTCTATCCATTTTCTTTTTCTGACCTACATTTTGGAAAGCGAAATAGAAATGAAATAAATGTGCCCTAAGAAAAGGTAGAATATATCAGTTCAAATTTTGTGTCTGTCTGGTTTCAAGAACATCATAATAAAGGATCAAATAAACACTTTATATAATTTCCTTATTATCATAGGGGAGTGGCAGAAACTTGTTTCGATACATGTCAACAAAATGCGTATGTCTATGATCATCATTGATGTAAATGTCAGCAGGACTTGCTGAAGCCTGAAACTGCCTCCTGTCATTGTTGTTTTAGCCTTTTAAAGACAGTGTAAGCTGTATTCCTTGAATTTCATAAAAATTGTTTATAACAAACTCGGAAGGTATTTATTACCAGATTACCAGTGTCAGAATGTATAAATGGATATTTCCAGTTCATGATTTGGTTGGTAGGTCCTGATGGTGTTATCCAGTAGATGTTAACTTATCCGATAACTGCTGTCCGTGTCCTACACAGCCAAAACCCCTCTCCCTGTACAGATCTCTGTATCCACAACTCATCTTGATGTTCTGCATACACATGTACAACATCTTTTTGGTTTTGTTTCTTTTACATTGCAGCAGTTACAAAATATATATTATGCTAATAATGACAATACTTTTCTGATCTGACCAAGTTTGCCTCAATAAAACAATAGACCACTTACCCAAGCGCTTGTTTTACATGTTGGTTACTCAATCTGTCAAAACATATACGTAAGACTTCTACTGGAAATCCTGAATGCACGAGTTCCTGTGCATAAAAACTACACAGAGAATAGAGAATTCGCTGGTACTCTTGTAACACTTGCTGACATATTTCTGTTGTAATTTTCTGTAAGTACATTCATATGGGAATGAATGAAATTGATCACAAGCCTGTCTCGGTGTGTTATTGCTTTTTATAATGGAAGAGATTGTGCATGAATGGAGGTACAGTACACTATTTTAGACATCCTACACAGAGTGCAACACCAGAGGCCATTTATCTGGTAAAGGTTAAGTTAGTCCAGGTTGGTTATCCAGTTGACGTTTTCGCTAACCATTCCAGCTCTATGAAAAGGTTGATATAAATCTCTCTATGACTAAATATATGACATCACAAAAGATAGCTTTCCTTAAATTTCAGTTCAACATATAAAGTTTCTTAACACAAAACCTGCTGTAATACAAACATTTAAGGGACCCCCATAAGTTGTTTTTTTTTCGGGTTTGGATTGTTTGAATATTAATTTTGGATTGTATCTGAAACATATGTGGTTCATCTAGATATCGGTATGTGAAATGAATGGCTTCCTTTTCCTCGATGCCTTGTGCCATTACAGAGTAACATTTCCAGATATGCTTACCTAAGCCTGTCCTTCCCAATAATTCATTTTGCCTGCAGTCTCTGTTCATAAGACTCCAATTTGCGGTCATTAGGAGTAATAGTCAATGATTAGCTGGTGAAAATTCTAAGAAACCCAGAGCACAGCACTTAAAGTTGTTAATTTGGCAGTGATAGTGTGCCAATGTATCATGCTTATATTTTATATTGTATGGAATGTTGGGAATGGACAATATTTGGGAGGATTGGGAAACATTTAGAAGCAAATCAGAATTTATCAGAATCTTGTTGTTTTTTTAAATTGAAGTTGACATTGAAACAAAATAAATTTCTAGTAAGGTATAATGGAAACTTGGGCATCAAATAAAAACAATGCTTCAACTATACATACATGTTTCTCACTGGGAACTCAATGGAAGGACAATAAGGACAAACTTTTATTTGGGGGAGGGGGGGGGGGTGGTATATAGATCATTTAGTAATTGGCAAAGATTCAGATATGAAGGATGTTATTGACCATTGGGAAACAGGCATCTATAGATTTGAATAGCCTTTTAAGCAGGCTACAGTAACTCAATTGCTGGAGCATTAGATTTAGGAAACTGAGTTTAAGACCTGAACTATGTGGTTTGATTTCTGGTATGTTGTTTTGGAGATAGCCACCAGTTGCTCAGTCTCAAAATAACCCTTTGTGCTCTTGGGACAACAAACCCAGTAAACAAACAAATAGACTACATGCAAGGGGACAATTTTTGATTAATTGTTGTTTCTGAAATACATGTAAGATGATAATGATATTTGCAGTATAGGCTTTTTGTGACTTTGATATATACAACACAATGATTTGTCCTTTCATTACACGTTAATGTTGATTTTCAGATGCTAACCCTGGCTCTGACCAGTCAGAGCTCTTCATCAAGAAACTGCAACAATGCTGCGTTGTTTTCGACTTCATGGATCCTGTATCCGACCTGAAGAGTAAAGAAGTGAAAAGGGCCTGTCTGAATGAGTTGGTGGACTACATCACAGCTACACGGAATGTTCTCTCTGATCCTGTTTATCCGGAGATCGTCCGCATGGTAAGTCCAACATTTATTGTTATATTGACAAATGTTCCAGTCACAAAGAATTCCTCTTTGGATCAAGAAGTAGAGCACTGCTTCAGTGGTTTGCTAAATTGAAGTTGTCGGACACAACTCCTGAAGAAGACACCTTAAAACAAGACCATACTCAACAGCAAAATCTGTCCTCTGAGGGAGAGTGCTTGTACACTTGTGAGCTCATCTGCTTATACAATACACTGATATTATATATATAGATGCCAGCTTATTATGTTTGACTAATTTTCAAATTTTGGATTTCTTCACCTTTGCTCTTAGCATTACTGATGAGGATGAGTTTCAGTGAGTCCAGATCACCAATTCCAAAATTTTCATGAGTCCCAGTACTAAAAGATATAATGGGTTCTCAGAATTTGAGCGAGTCCCACAGGAAAATTAGAACTCCGATATCTTGAGTCCCAAAAAATCACTTGAGTGCAATTTTGTTCATCATTTACCACAGGAAGGATGCTATTCATCTGTGTGATGACATTTGTAAAATGCTTGTAGAAACACTTTAATTTAGGATGAAAAGATCTGTGACTTTAAATTATAACCATGCTAACAAGTTATCAATATATTTGCTGCAAGAGTTTACTGGTTGATGATGTGGTAATGAGGAGACTTTTCGAAAAGTCATTTCGACTGGTGACGTCATTATATTATAATGAATTTTACTTCCTGACAATTATCAGGATAATATCATGAGTCATATACAATGTTGTATGTGAATGAAGGCTTTTATTGAGATTTTCAGCAGATAAATATGGATGCTTAACCATATTAAATCACCATTAGATACAGTGCTTTTTCTTGGTGTTATGCAAGACCAAATATGGGTTTCATTTCCAATTGGATTTAGTGAATGATGTTGTCAAAATTCCCCAAATATGTATTGTTTACTCCTTCCCATCTGATCAATATTCTTCCTTAAATGAGATTAAAAGGCCTTTTTCTAAAAGAATGGAGAAAAACCCTAGATTCAGGGGTCAAGAGTTCATGTGTATCTGAATTTGATGATATTCACCAAAGCTAATTCAGATTTCTTTATATTACAGTAATATTACTGAGGACTTATCCGAGTCAAAATTGTCTTAAAAATGTATATTTACCTTTATATTTAAACCTTGAGGACTTATTTTACTAGAGAACAATTGATATAAGTAGATATATGTATATACTAAAAGTGATATCAAGTTAGTTGTGACTAGTACATTCTACCATCAGATACACTATAATCCAGGGTACTATGCAAATAAAAGGAAATGGCTCTGGATGACTCATGTTTGGTTTTGTTGATGCAACGTATCGCGGATTGCCTCATTTGAAGACTAAAATCTGATTGTCAGATTGTATGTGTGATGGAAAAGGTGCACATGTATATATGTAGAACTGTATAGCTAGATTATCATAGCAGATATTGGGCTGGTGTACATTTGTATCCCTCAGTCAGGTTTTGTCTAAAACTGTCATCATTTGTAGTTTGATACCGTGATTAACCTCAAGATAATTGGAATATTTTTTCCTGCTGTAGATGGAATGTGGAAATCCAATGGTAAAAATGAGATTTAGAGAAAATTAAAACTTAAATAGAATTTGGAGAAATCTCTGATCCAACATCCAGAATAATTCTTAAATACAGCAATGATTTAATACAATTTTAAACTGAGTAAATTATAGTGTTGTATTATTGATTCTTAAACAATTGAGAAATTAAAGCCTACAAAATAGAAACTGACAGTGATGATTTAACAAATAAACGTAACAAGTTTAGAGACAAGAACAATTTAAAACTAGTAATAAGCAAGTTCCATTCATTGTTTGTTACTGATGCTAATATCTGTTACGTTTTCAAGTTTTGAAAAATCAAAAGTAGCAATATCATTGCATTCATACTGTTTATTTACAAATTAATGAACATGTTATAAATCTAGGACTTCTGATTATAAAACCAGGATCAAGTGCAGTGAGGAAATATTATTGTATAAAAAATGTTTAAGCAGCTCCAGGTTTCAATTACAAGTCCACTCTGTTCATAGTTGTTTAAAAAGTGATTTCACCTGCACGATACAAAGATTAATTCTGTTCATGCCAAGCCAGATTGTTTATTAGTCTGTGGACTTTGAATAAACATGTGGAAATACATGTATCAATTTTGAGTTTCACTCAGAATTTTATAGGCATATAAGGGACATATGTGACATATACATGTGTGGAGATTTTATTACTGGGGGCCATCATATGTGTAGTCATATGGAATCACCAATTTGGTCATGTTCAATTTCTTTTTATTGCAAAATTTGTTAAATTGTTAAGTGTCTATGCTGTTAAGAAGGAGAATGGATTAATTCTGTGTGTAGTCATTGGTTAAACTACACATAAAACTTCACAGTAGAATGGCTACCATGCCTCAGTAAGGCTATGATATGCATTACCTATTCATACATCTTGAGCCTTACTATGGACAAATTAGTGATAAGTTGAAGTTAGTGTGGAGCTGGGGTGACAGAATAAAGGGAGAAATATTGATTGGTGGTTTCCAGAATCCCACTGTCAGTGAGCTGTAATTGGAATGGTGGAATTCTAGTGTAGAGATGATTGGGTGGGGAGCTAAACAGGGAGGGGACCTGGTCACACCGCCAGTATATTATAGAAGATCCAGTGCTGCTCAGGGTTACGATCAGTTGGAAGATTTATGTTGGATTTCTACAAGATAAATGTCTCTATGTGGTCTATTGTCGACTTAGATTGTGGAGGGTAGTGACAAATTATTGAATAAACTGTGGTGAGGAGTAAGCAGCATCGGAAGGTTCCACTTGTGTTGTAGGATCTTGCTTTTTACAGATTATACATGATGAATATTCAGCAAATTTTACCTCGGTAATTGAGTCTTTCAACATCGATCCAAGAAAAGCACAGAGATATACAATTATATATTTAAAATTCACATTCAATTACAATTAGCTTGGAGTAAAAAGTGTGCTGTTTTACTCAAAGGAGTCTTTGTGTATACCAGTAATTCAAAAACCTGCAACGTCGGGGAAAAAAAATTCTGTCACTGAAAGATTTGTAAGGATTGTAGCTTTACATTCTCAGCGCTTGGAAAGTTTCCAGTTGTGTTACATTAGGGATGAAAAAAAATGATATTATATATAAAGAGTTAATGACTGGAAAGAGTATATATATATAGTTGATTGCTGGGACCTGTGTGCTACCTGTTATATACAGAGATATTGACAGACTTGAGATGTCCTTACTACAGGAATCACTTCTCTCTGTTCTCTGCCACACCATACCAGCAAAACCTTTCACAATTTTAGTATTGATGTAGGAAGCTTCATAAATATCCCTGTGGTTCTAAATATAGTCTAGTCGAAACTGCTGTTGTGGCTATTTATAGAGCACCTGGTTCACAGATTGCCCAGCCTATCCCGGTGTTGGTGTGTGGTGGGGAAGGTATGTGCTGGACCATGGGATGGGGCTGTTGGGCAATACTTGCATACATTTCCCTGTAAAGCGATACTCTCATTCATCAAGGATGGCTAGGCCCAGGCAGTTCAGTACTGGCGTTACAGCAATGAAATGCTTGTGTTCAAGCCTTTTTATTTCATTACAATACTGAAACGCCTCTATTTAAACCTTCACATTACAATACAGAAATGCCTGTATTTAAACCTCACATTACAGTACTGAAATGCCTGTATTTAAATCTTCACATTACAGTACTGAAATGCCTGTATTTAAATCTTCACATTACAGTACTGAAATGCCTGTATTTAAACCTTCACATTACAGTACTGAAATGCCTGTATTTAAACATTCACATTACAGTACTGAAATGCCTGTATTTAAATCTTCACATTACAGTACTGAAATGCCTGTATTTAAACCTTCACATTACAGTACTGAAATGCCTGTATTTAAACATTCACATTACAGTACTGAAATGCCTGTATTTAAATCTTCACATTACAGTACTGAAATGCCTGTATTTAAACATTCACATTACAGTACTGAAATGCCTGTATTTAAATCTTCACATTACAGTACTGAAATGCCTGTATTTAAACCTTCACATTACAATACAGAAATGCCTGTATTTAAACCTTCACATTACAGTACTGAAATGCCTGTATTTAAATCTTCACATTACAATACAGAAATGCCTGTATTTAAACATTCACATTACAATACAGAAATGCCTGTATTTAAACCTCACCTTACAGTACTGAAATGCTTGTATTTAAACCTTTACATTACAATACAGAAATGCCTGTATTTAAACCTCACCTTACAGTACTGAAATGCTTGTATTTAAACCTTTACATTACAATACAGAAATGCCTGTATTTAAACCTCACCTTACAGTACTGAAATGCCTGTATTTAAACATTCACATTACAATACTGGAATGCCTGTATTTAAACCTCATATTACAGTACTGAAATGCTTGTATTTAAACCTTTACATTACAATACAGAAATGCCTGTATTTAAACCTCACCTTACAGTACTGAAATGCCTGTATTTAAACATTCACATTACAATACTGGAATGCCTGTATTTAAACCTCATATTACAGTACTGAAATGCTTGTATTTAAACTTTAACATTACAATACTGAAATGGCTGTATTTAAACCTCACATTACAGTACTGAAATGCCTGTATTTATACCTTCACATTACAATACAGAAATGCCTGTATTTAAACATTCACATTACAATACAGAAATGCCTGTATTTAAACCTCACCTTACAGTACTGAAATGCCTGTATTTAAACATTCACATTACAATACTGGATGCCTGTATTTAAACCTCATATTACAGTACTGAAATGCTTGTATTTAAACTTTAACATTACAATACTGAAATGGCTGTATTTAAACCTCACATTACAGTACTGAAATGCCTGTATTTATACCTTCACATTACAATACAGAAATGCCTGTATTTAAACATTCACATTACAATACAGAAATGCCTGTATTTAAATCTTCACATTACAATACAGAAATGCCTGTATTTAAACCTCACATTACAATACAGAAATGCCTGTATTTAAATCTTCACATTACAATACAGAAATGCCTGTATTTAAACCTCACATTACAATACAGAAATGCCTGTATTTAAACCTCACATTACAGTACTGAAATGCCTGTATTTAAATCTTCACATTACAATACAGAAATGCCTGTATTTAAACCTTCACATTACAATACAGAAATGCCTGTATTTAAACCTTCACATTACAATACAGAAATGCCTGTATTTAAATCTTCACATTACAATACAGAAATGCCTGTATTTAAACCTTCACATTACAATACAGAAATGCCTGTATTTAAACCTCACCTTACAGTACTGAAATGCCTGTATTTAAACATTCACATTACAATACTGGAATGCCTGTATTTAAACCTCACATTACAGTACTGAAATGCCTGTATTTAAACATTCACATTACAATACTGAAATGCCTGTATTTAAACCTCATATTACAGTACTGAAATGCTTGTATTTAAACTTTAACATTACAATACTGAAATGGCTGTATTTAAACCTCACATTACAGTACTGAAATGCCTGTATTTAAACCTTCACATTACAATACAGAAATGCCTGTATTTAAACCTCACCTTACAGTACTGAAATGCTTGTATTTAAACCTTTACATTACAATACAGAAATGCCTGTATTTAAACCTCACCTTACAGTACTGAAATGCTTGTATTTAAACCTTTACATTACAATACAGAAATGCCTGTATTTAAACCTCACCTTACAGTACTGAAATGCCTGTATTTAAACATTCACATTACAATACTGGAATGCCTGTATTTAAACCTCATATTACAGTACTGAAATGCTTGTATTTAAACCTTTACATTACAATACAGAAATGCCTGTATTTAAACCTCACCTTACAGTACTGAAATGCCTGTATTTAAACATTCACATTACAATACTGGAATGCCTGTATTTAAACCTCATATTACAATACTGAAATGCCTGTATTTAAACCTTCACATTACAATACAGAAATGCCTGTATTTAAACCTCACATTACAGTACTGAAACGCCTCTATTTAAACCTTCACATTACAATACAGAAATGCCTGTATTTAAACATTCACATTACAATACTGAAATGCCTGTATTTAAACCTCACATTACAGTACTGAAATGCCTGTATTTAAATCTTCACATTACAATACAGAAATGCCTGTATTTAAACCTTCACATTACAATACAGAAATGCCTGTATTTAAACCTTCACATTACAATACAGAAATGCCTGTATTTAAATCTTCACATTACAATACAGAAATGCCTGTATTTAAACCTTCACATTACAATACAGAAATGCCTGTATTTAAACCTCACCTTACAGTACTGAAATGCCTGTATTTAAACATTCACATTACAATACTGGAATGCCTGTATTTAAACCTCACATTACAGTACTGAAATGCCTGTATTTAAACATTCACATTACAATACTGAAATGCCTGTATTTAAACCTCATATTACAGTACTGAAATGCTTGTATTTAAACTTTAACATTACAATACTGAAATGGCTGTATTTAAACCTCACATTACAGTACTGAAATGCCTGTATTTAAACCTTCACATTACAATACAGAAATGCCTGTATTTAAACCTCACATTACAGTACTGAAATGCTTGTATTTAAACTTTAACATTACAATACTGAAATGCCTGTATTTAAACCTCACATTACAGTACTGAAATGCCTGTATTTAAACCTTCACATTACAATACAGAAATGCCTGTATTTAAACCTTCACATTACAGTACTGAAATTCCTGTATTTAAACCTTCACATTACAATACTGAAATGCCTGTATTCAAACCTTCACATTGCACTACTGGAAGCCCTTATATATATGCCTTCACATTACTATGCTGAAGCTCCTGGGTTCAGGACTTTTCATTACAATACTGAAACACTTATTTGTATTTAGACCTTAACATTATAGAACTGAAGCAATCAGGATATGGTGAGGCCAATGTTAAGGTACATTTGATACTCGGATATTTAAGGAAGGTTATGGCCCCTGTAAGGTTACATTCACTGTTGATACTCGGATGTTTAAGTCAGGTCATGGTCTGTGTAAGGTTACATTCACTGTTGATACTCGGATGTTTAAGTCAGGTCATGGTCTGTGTAAGGTTACATTCACTGTTGATACACGGATGTTTAAGTCAGGTCATGGCCTTTGTAAGGTTATATTCACTGTTGATACGCGGATGTTTAAGTCAGGTCATGGTCTGTGTAAGGTTACATTCACTGTTGATACACGGATGTTTAAGTCAGGTCATGGTCTGTGTAAGGTTACATTCACTGTTGATACTCGGATGTTTAAGTCAGGTCATGGTCTGTGTAAGGTTACATTCACTGTTGATACGCGGATGTTTAAGTCAGGTCATGGCCTTTGTAAGGTTATATTCACTGTTGATACGCGGATGTTTAAGTCAGGTCATGGTCTGTGTAAGGTTACATTCACTGTTGATACTCGGATGTTTAAGTCAGGTCATGGTCTGTGTAAGGTTACATTCACTGTTGATACTCGGATGTTTAAGTCAGGTCATGGTCTGTGTAAGGTTACATTCACTGTTGATACTCGGATGTTTAAGTCAGGTCATGGTATGTGTAAGGTTACACACACTGTCGATACTCGGATGTTTAAGTCAGATCATGACCCCAGTAAGGTTACATTCACTGTTGATACTTGGATGTTTAAGTCAGGTCATGGTCTGTGTAAGGTTATATTCACTGTTGATACTCGGATGTTTAAGTCAGGTCATGACCCCTGTAAGGTTACATTTAATGGTGAAAGGTAGATGTTTAGATCAGGTCATGGCCCCTGTAAGGTTACATTTATTGGTGAAAGGTAGATGTTTAAATCAGGTCATGACCCCTGTAAGATTACATTTAATGGTGAAAGGTAGATGTTTAAATCAGGTCATGACCCCTGTAAGGTTACATTTAATGGTGAAAGGTAGATGTTTAAATCAGGTCATGACCCCTGTAAGGTTACATTTAATGGTGAAAGGTAGATGTTTAAATCAGGTCATGGCTCCTGTAAGGTTACATTTAATGGTGAAAGGTAGATGTTTAAATCAGGTCATGACTCCTGTAAGGTTACATTTAATGGTGAAAGGTAGATGTTTAAATCAGGTCATGACCCCTGTAAGGTTACATTTAATGGTAAAAGGTAGATGTTTAAATCAGGCTCCTGTATGGCATCAAGCTACATTAATTTATATTATATGGGTGTTATATTAAGTTGATTTCATTTTTGTCAACAGATTGCTTGTAATATATTTCGGACGTTACCTCCCAATGACAATCCTGACTTTGACCCAGAGGAAGATGACCCAACACTCGAGGCGTCTTGGCCACACTTACAGGTAAATATATGTCTGAAAGTTGTCTCCCTTATATACATTAATACTATATAACAAAAGTTGTCTCCCTTATATACATAAATACTATATAACAAAAGTTGTCTCCCTTATATACATAAATACTATATAACAAAAGTTGTCTCCCTTATATACATAAATACTATATAACAAAAGTTGTTATTTGTTATACTGAAACCTTAAAAGTTGGTTACAAACTTCATTTATTGATCATAAACATTAGAACTTTAACTATATCTATTATTTTTCAGATCGTTTATGAATTCTTTCTGAGGTTTCTAGAATCTCCGGACTTCCAACCAAGTTTAGCAAAGAAATATATAGACCAAAGATTTGTGCTGCAGGTATGGTTTTTAAGGTTTGAGTTGGAACAGAATTCAGCTTAATTGTTTTCTTGTACATTGTTTTATAAATTTCTGAAAGAATCAGGATGATAGGTGCATCTTCTGCAGACTTTATTTTTAGGAAGATGAACTGCTACCTCAAACTCACATTAGTCAAAATGGTGTCAGTTTTAAAGGTTGTAAGTCTGGATTTTCTTTCCAGCATATCAAAAAAGAATTCTTCTTTTTGACTTAGTTTTGATGACACTCTTTGATAGTTTTTCACATCGTGTACCTCGTGGATTATCAAACATGAAGAATAAATCTCCTCTACCTGCCATTTTTCATGTCAGTTTTTGTTGTTTGTCTTTTTTATGAAATGCAAGTTAATGCATCGCAAGTTTATGATGAGCTTGAAAATACATACCAGAACTTGAAGGCTATTAATACAATATCTGTAGGAACAAGACAATTATATTTCAGTTTAAAAGAATGTGACAGATGGAAATTATGTTTGATCCTGTTCTTGTTTCAGCTTCTGGAGTTGTTTGATAGCGAAGACCCTAGAGAAAGAGACTTTCTAAAGACTGTTTTACATAGGATTTATGGGAAATTTTTGGGTCTCCGAGCCTTCATTAGAAAACAGATAAATAATATCTTTCTCAGGTAAGAATTCAGGGGAAAAGGGAGAACACAATCAGCTGGATGTATTTTATAATCTTTGGAATCAAAGTTGTGTTTTTGTTATTATAATGAAAAAAATCTTGTGGCTGAACTAAAAATGAAAAAAATCTTGTGGCTGAACTATATCTCAGTAAAAATGGCAAGGTTGAATAACCTCTCAATCAGAGTGACAAAGGTTAACTATATCTAAATTAGAATAATGAGGCTTAACTACATCTAGATCAGAACAAATGGCCTTGATCATTAGCTATCTTTTGCATACAAGTATCCGAAGAGGTCATTTTTGCTGGGGAAAAAAAAAATGATATCATTTGCAGGTATGATAAAACAGTCCCTAACCTCTAGGACTACATTTTGTAATATTGAGAACTGAAAAGAGTAAGAAAAAATATCTCTTTAAGATGATCTATTGTCCACTGTCATATTTATCCCTGCAGGTTCATATATGAGACTGAGTCATTTAACGGAGTTGGGGAGCTGTTGGAAATTCTGGGCAGGTTTGTAGTCAGCTGACGATTAATTAAGCTAATCCAATCCTTCACAAAAGAGTTTGTAGTGAATATTTTATTTACCAAAACTTTGTGTGACTGTTTATGAAATTTGCTGGAGTGGTATAAAACTGAAAAAAATCGAAATCAAACTTCTTATTAACATGGAAGAAAACCTAAGGGTTGGTTGACCCAGTTAAACTTGTTTTATATTAGATATTGTGCCTTTTTACAACAGAGGTTGTCAGCATGATAGCATTTTGTTAGGAGGGGCAGGTATTAGTTGATAAAATATGACATATAACACAACTTCACAACACAAAATAAAAACACAAAAATCAAAAGAAATTGTCAGCTTCAAAATGCTGTAAACATTCATGGCGAACAAGGAAAAAAGGATATTGTAAACCTGTTTGAAATTAACAAAATTATACAAGCGAAAAGTAAATCAGAGTTTGAACTTCCAGAGGCAACATGGCCAAAAATCATGATGAAGTGTCTGAAACACTTTACCAATACAGGGAACCCCCTCTCTCCCCTTCCTCCCCACCCCCATTATATTGTTTCAAAAATTACTTCATACAATATATTTCCAAAAAAAGATTCCATACTATATCAAAATTTATAAAACAAATGTGAACATATATCTAGAATTACAGTGATAATGCACGTCCTTTTGTGTTGTCCTGTTGCTTTTATGTTATGTCCTCTTTACTTGTAGCATTATAAATGGATTTGCCTTACCTCTAAAGACGGAGCACAGACAGTTCTTGATCAAGGTGTTAATACCGCTACACAAGGCTAAGACTCTCAATCTCTACCATGCACAGGTACAGTGACCTCAAATTTCCTATGTGTTCTGTATTCACAATAAAATCACCAAACTTAACATTTTATTGAGCTACAGAGACGGTATTTGTACAATACAATTATCCATTTTATTTTCAGCTTGCTTACTGTGTGGTGCAATTTTTGGAAAAAGATGCTGCATTGACTGAGGAGGTAATTTGCGTAGAGTTTGACAGTTTTGTCTAGAAAATAGTGCAATTTAAGGCTTATCTATATATACATATATAAATATATTACATCATGCACACTTTTTAGGTCAATTTTGTTTCCTGTTATTTTATTCTTGCTGTAAAGCAGTTATATAGTTAACTATTGATAATAAATGCAATATGTACTGAACAACCATAAGTTAGTTAGGGTTGAAAAAAAGAAGGAGAAAAAAAACCTCACAGAAATTAAACTAAGATGTTCAATATATTTTGTGTTTTACATGGTCATGTTTGTTTTAGGTGATTAATGGACTGTTGAAGTACTGGCCAAAGACCTGCAGCCAAAAGGAGGTAAAATCTTATTTATTATATCTCCTAATCATATCTATGTACTGGGTATCGGCAGTGTTTCATCATAATTATACTGTTCTCCACTTGTATACCGTATTTATCCACAAATAAGCCACTTCTGGTTGTGTAAAAATCATAATAAAGTTTAGGGAGGGCTAATTTGTGAACTACTTTCAGTTTAATATTTTAAAATTGCTGATTCTGCAAAAAAAAAAAAAACAGAAATAAGAAGGGTATATTAGATAACCCCAACCTATGTTCTTATGGAAATTGTACATCTCAATTTACCATTCAGTTTACACAGAAATTCTCTATAGATCTAGCTATATTACAAACGTTCGCGCGACCCTGATTGTGCTTTGACTGGTTTGCACTGTTATAAGTTGTAAAGAATGAAATATTTGTGAAAATTATAAAATCAACTCTTCCCCTTCCCCTTAAGTCTATATATGGTTGTTAGTTACCTCAGATAACTTAATGTGAACATCAGGGCACACAACAATCATTCTCTCATGTTTTTTACAGGTGATGTTTCTCGGGGAGATCGAGGAGATCCTTGATGTGATAGAACCTGCTCAGTTCGCACGAATTATGGAAAAATTGTTTAAACAGATTTCAAGATGTGTCTCAAGCCCTCACTTCCAGGTGAGTTTTACTTTTGTTCTATCGTGGCACTATTAGTGAAAATGATATTCGTACTTGTCTGGTGTGGGACAATTATTAAGTTTGAGAAGGGGTAGGGGATGAAGTGTAGATTGATAAAATACAATTTTTTAGAGTACGAATTCTGATTTGTGACTTGTCTTTGTAATGTTACATATCTCTTTAACAGAAAAATGATTACATGTTCAGTTTTAGTGATCAGAATATTATTTTGTCATAACAGGTGGCGGAGCGGGCCTTGTACTACTGGAATAACGACTACATCATGAGTCTGATAGAGGAAAGCTCCAATGCAATCCTTCCGATCATGTTTCCTGCACTCTACAGGATATCTAAGGAACACTGGAATCAGACCATCGTTGCGCTCGTCTATAATGTACTCAAAACCTTCATGGAAATGAATTCTAAATTATTTGATGAATTAACTTCAAATTATAAAGCAGATCGACAGAAGTGAGTAACCCAGATTGTATCCAACTTTCTCTCTTTCTCTCTTTTATCACTTTCTTTGATTTCTGATATTGATTTAATGAAATATCAAAATTAGAAAAATATGTGGTCATCCTAAAAACATGAAGCTCACAAGTAGATTATTTCCCTTTATGCCAATTTTTCTGTTATCTATTCAATTGCATTGATTTAAAAATCTTTTACCTCTGACTGACTATACCTTTCATGATTTTCTAGAAGTTTTTTCCTTTAAGAAAAATTTTGGAAGACTTGAACAATTTTGTAGAAGAAGTGAAAGTTATTGATTGAATTATTGTGATTTAATGTGATGTGATATATACTTTCGTATATGAGGAAAAATGAAAAAGGAGATATTTGCAAATATTGTGAAAATAAAAAGTGTTGAGTTGAAGTTTTTATGTTCAAATTGAAATATATTACATATATCAATTTATATTTTTGAGCGAATTTAACACTAGACGTGAATCCTCAGATGCAATATGATTGGTGTTCCTAGTAGAAAAAGTCTGGATTATGACAAGTTTATTGTAAGGTTATGGCCAATGTGTGTTTCCTCAAGTACTCTTTATGTCCATGTCAAGTGAAATTTTCTATACCCAGTAAAAGTTTTGCTTGTTTTTTAACAGAGAGAGAAAGAAGGAGAAGGATCGGGAAGAACTGTGGAAGAAATTAGAGAAGATAGAATTTGAAAGCACACAATTAAAGAATAAAACATAAAACATTGCCATATTAGAAGCAGTTTTTGGCCAGCAATGGGAAGGAAGTTTCCTGTGCTATCATCACTCATACTGTAACACCATTTTTACATTAGCTGCATGCCGCAACAGATGGGATTTGTTGGTTTTCAGAACACCAATTGTAGGGGTGAATGATTTTGCCTGTGGGAGGGCTCAGTCTGTCTGAGGTCCCAGCCCCTGTTTAGGCCCTGCCCTGCTCTGGGCCCAGGGGAATGCATCTGTATGTTGGCGTTTTAACACTTTTTCTTGCGCTCATGTGTAGGAGACATCTTCATCACACCAGGTCTGTTGCTTCGTGAATCTGGTGTTTTTTTTTTTTGTTTTCCAGGAGGATATGTCTGTTTCTTTGTTTATCTCCCCTGCCACTAACGGTTGTAACGCCCCTGTTCTCCTACCCCCGGCCACTCTGCTTCAGTAGAGGATAGCTGACAGTGTATAACCATATCGGGGATGTTAGTTGTTGAGCTGTGTACTGTCCGACAAGTCTCCGTAGTGGTTGAAGTGGCACACGTTTCAAGTGTGGCCTCCAGAATGGTGGCATGTAAACTTGTATGGCTACCAAAGTGGCCAATAGTCTAGATGGATATATTGAGTGGTCATCTACAGACAGTCGTGACAGCTTGTAAGACGAGATGACTGAGAGAAACGGCTTGGGTGGGCTACCCATATGTAGTGATGGTAAACCAACACACTGGCATCAACTATGTTGATCCGATACACCTCTATGAGCTTATTTGATGATGTGAAAATGTAGTTTTAAACAAACAAACAAACAAAAAAATGATATGATTTGTCTGATGGTTTTGTAACTTGTGTGAAGGAGATTATAGATGAAAGTCTGATCAGTGTGATACATTGTAGATTGTTTGTAGTGACTGTTTGCCTTGTGTGTTTGTGAGAGAAAGTAGATGTGTTTTACCTGTCTAGTATAGCAACATTATTATCATGTGTACTGGGGAATGTCAGATATTCTTTTGTGTCAGGTAAAGGGGGACAATCTGTGTGCATGGGTATTTCTGTGTGTTACATGTCATGACCTTGTCATGGGGAAAGTTTGACCTTTTAATCGAGGAAAATCTTCAATGTTGGATATTTTCATCATATCAGGTAATGCTGAATTGTACCTAGATGAGGGAAGGGGGCACTATCAATAATTATGGGATTGAGGTTGTGTTCAGCAAGGAATAAATAGTTGATAGTTCAAGCCAAACTTTGTAATTGCTGAACAACAATAACAGAATTAAACAGCATTTTGTTGTTGTCATTTATCATATGACTAGGATTGTGTAGGCTGTCAATTTTAGCTTGAAGCGGGAAGATGTTTTGCTCCTATGACAAAAACAGATTGCTTGGTTTAGAAATTGTTTAACTGGTAATCTTCATACTTAAGGTTTTTTCATGTTAATTAAGTTCTAACTTACTCTTAACTGCTAAATAGAAAGTCGCTGTATTCTGCATGATATAGATTCGGAGTGAAAGTTGAAAATTGTTGCAGAGATGTATGGAGTCTGGAGTGCACTTGATAGTAGTTTAAAGTAATACATCTTCAATGTTTGGTGCGATTGATGTTGATATATTGTGATGGTGATTACCACTTAAAAAAATTCAAGGCACAGTCTCTATATGTTGCGGTATGGATAATTCCTGTGCAGAATGACAGCAGAAAGGTGAAAGGCTTTGTGGTAGGTTTTAGGTGATAATTGCAAGCATCCATATCAATATAAAATCTGGCTTCATGAATACTGGACACTTCATATGAACTATACAGTTTCATCTTATAATGAAGAGCTGTTTCTCTATATTTATTATTTATTTTTTAACATATATATGTAAAGCATGGAATAAATGCATAAAGTACATAGTATATTTACCTTAATCCTGTTGAAGACTTTATCATTATATTGAAAGTCTGCTGTTTGAATATCAGTGTGTTAGTTAGGAATCTGTTGTTTCTACTCCAGGTTACTATGATCTTATATTGTGAAGGTAATGCAAGAAAAATCATTTTACAGGTGGAAAAGCGTTAAAGGAATTCATTGTTTGTTTAAAATTTGGAGGAAGGCAAGATATTTAGGAGCATCTGATGATGACTTATTTGTGATTAAATAGATATAAGAATTCTCCAATATTTGTTTTTTGGAATACTTGGACATATTTTAGTGCTCTTACTTAATCTAGTTCTGTAATATATTACCACGACCTGTAACTGTTGGTGGTATATCTCGGTGTCTCTAGTGTGCGAGAGTAGTTTGTACTGTGAGTTGTCTCCATCCATGTCATCACTACAAATTTATGGTATTATTGTTATGTTTTGTTACGAGTGAATGATAGTTTTACTATTTTATTCCTAGTACAAGTGTATATTTACATATATTTATGTGCAGCATGTGGAGGGGAGGTAACTCTATGTGACACCATCTGATGACCAGCTGTACCTGTGGTAGCCTGCCAGGCTTGCTCCTCTCGTCTTTTATCTGGAGTGCATGAGCTATGATTTTTAAGACTGCAAGAAGAACATTTTGAAACCATGCATTTGTCAGTTAACTAATTCATGTGGCATGTTTTAAACTATTAAATATAAATTATATGCAATAAATTTGTTAGTGTGTGTGTGTATATATAATTATATATATAGGTGGGTAATTCTGTACATGGCTGTGTACTAATACTTGAAACCATTACAAGGTCTAGTACAAACTCTTGCTGTCGTATGATCTCCTCAACCCTATACCTTCTACTGCTGCTCACAATGCCACTGGGTGTTAATGTGTTGGACCTTTTTACATCCCTCATTCTGTAAATCATCTCCATCTTTCTATTTCTTGGTATAATTAGACATGTGAGTTATGTGTCTATACCCTATAAGCAAATTGAACAAAGGCAGTGCAAGTTTTCGTAGCTCCTGGGAATCTTGGCAAGCAGAGATAGGTGTAGTGATGTACCCCACTCTAGCTCTTGGTATACAGAGGTTGGTTAAATAATGCAGCACTATAACAGGCAAAGATAGCTAGAATAGAGCAACCCTCCTTAGATCTAGGTAAGCCAAGATGGCTAGAATGGTGTGACCCTCCTAAACTCCTTGGTATGGTAGGTGGAGTTCTGTGACCCTAGTAAACTACTTGGTATTCAGAGATAGATGAAGTGTTGCGACCCTCAGTAGCTCCTTGGTGTACAGAGATAGGTGAAGTGGTGCGACCCTCAGTAGCTCCTTGGTATACAGAGATAGGTGAAGTGGTGTGACCCTCAGTAGCTCCTTGGTATACAGAGATAGGTGAAGTGGTGCGACCCTCCATAGCTCCTTGGTATTCAGAGATAGGTGAAGTGGTGCGACCCTCCATAGCTCCTTGGTATACAGAGATAGGTGAAGTGGTGCGACCCTCAGTAGCTCCTTGGTATTCAGAGATAGGTGAAGTGGTGCGACCCTCAGTAGCTCCTTGGTATTCAGAGATTGGTGAAGTGGTGATGTAGTTATGTATGTGTATGCATGAGAAACGGAATATTCATGACCACACAAATCATATGAAGTTAGTATATACAATAGGTAATTTGTGATCCTGTTAACTTTGAGGTGTACTAAACTTTTCAGAAGATGTTTAACAGACCTCTTGATGTCTTTGTAAAAACTGTTTCAAAGTATGTCTGAATTCTCATTTAAGTTGATTTATTTGAAAGAAAATGAGAGAAACTTTTGTTGGAGAACTCCACTTGTGAACTGTGACCTTTTCTTGTATAAACATGAAGAGCATTGGGATACTGCCTTTTAAAATCTCGTTAGTCTCTGATGGTTCCCATTTACATAATTATGTGAAATAGACTATAACATTAATCTGTATAATAGCAGTATGTTGAATCAGGCTTCACATTTTGGACTAATCCTGTGGTTGGACTGCTCCAGCACTATACTGTGTTGTACTGTTGCCTTCATCCTAGTCTGTTCTTTTAGTAGTTACCCTCCAACACAAGTCTGTACATTAAATGCCTATTATTTTGTAATATTAAAGTATTTGCTGCTACCAATAGTTGAAATTCAGAGTTCTGTTTGTCAGAAGGTTAAGCTTGGCAGTGAAAAGGTTTATTGATGTATAGTACGTGTAAAACAATTCTACAGAATTAAATGTCTTGATGTCCCATTTTGATTTGTTCAAAAAACACTAAGATATGATTGAAGGAGCCCAAAAAATGATTTATATCAAGTATATTGTTTGCTGAAGGCCTTTGAATACTGAGAAGTTGTCTGGGAAAATTATTCAGGGTGGGGGGGATTTCTTGAAATTCATAATTGGATGAAAATTGTATCTTAATTTCTAAATCGATTCTGATTTTAATTTGAATAATCTATGATTGCAATAGGACTTGCTCTTTCTGAGATTTTTAAGTAAATTCAACTTCTCAACTTTGCTTTGAAATGACGGTTAAAAAAAATTGCACCTTAACTTTGCTTTATCTCTTTATAATGGCCACAAAAAACTTAAAATCGTTTTGCTGAATTCTGTCTGTTTATTGAAGTTATTCATCCACACTGGTTAGCCTGTTTTGCCACAGACTCGTTACATACAAAGTCATACAATTACAAAACTTTTATTGAAGAAACAAAGAATTCCTTGACCCTGCTAATTGGATTAGAACAATGCAGGATCACATCGATGTCCTTAATTTAGACGGCTCTAATATACATCTTGTTTACTACACAAGCTTTTAGAATAATTTCATGCTTTTAAAATTTTAAGTAGTTAAAATTGCTGATAAAATTCTGCTAAATATAATGACAAAATCACATGATCAAATTGTGAAAAGTATGCAAGCTGATATGGTACAGTATGCTGTTAAACATTTTCATTATCAGCAAATAAAATGGATTATGTCCCTTTAATTGGGTATAAAATAATCTATAAATGCTGGATTAAAATCCCTGGTTTAGAAGCCATCACAACCTTGTTTGGTGATGTGAAGTGTCTAAATCACTTCTCAAACAGTTCACGTGAATAATAAACAAAAAGATATCTTAGTTATGTAATTATTGAATAATAAACAAAAAGATATCTTAGTTATGTAATTATTAAGCATAACTTCTTGTATCTGGGAAAAAAAAAGGAAATTAAAATCAAATTTTCAATAAAAAATTAAGGAATTAATATCAAAGGCCTTTTGATATAACGGCAGATTGTATATAAAATCATCTTTTTATCTTGAGTCAATTTTGCTATTTTCCATTCATTCCTCATTCAGATTTTTCAGCAAAGCAATTAGAAATGAACTTAAGTTTTATATAATACGTAGCATATTTTCTGTCTCGCACACATGTACACTAACACACACACACACTACACATGTAAACTGCACATGCTTTCATCATATTACACATACAGGTATATATGTGTTTCATATTGTTAATAAAATACTAACAACAAATACAAAACAAAGCAAATAGTAACTTTTTTCACTAAATCACATTTTGCAACCATTAAATATTGTTCAATCTTCAAAGGGAGATAATTGCATTTTGTGGCCAAAATACATTTGGCTAGGTGAACACATAATAGAGAATTAAGTTATAACAAAACAGATACACATTATCACCATGGCAACAACAAAGAGTTAGAACATGGAAATGGACAAGTGTTTCTTCCAGAATAAAATGACAGATTATTGACAATACAATGCTAGACATTATAATCAGAGGATTTTTTCTGGTCACCTCACAATATTGGCATCTATTAGTAATGCATGTTTTGTTGTTAAAAAAGCAATTTGAGGAAAGTTGATTTCAATATTGCCCTATTGATTTTCGACGTTAAGTCCCAACATTTTCTTAATATATCACTCATCCATTTAGATTTTGTGGTCAAAACTGACATTCATCAAAAAAAAAAAAAAAAAAGCAAAAACACATGAAAAATTGTTTGTAATGAGCTTCTAGCACCACAGGAAAGACAAAATCCAGTATGTGTTGTAGAAGAATGATATCAATTCTTTTAGTTGAAACCCTAATTTTTCCACTGCGTTTCTTAAAAAGTACTATTATTACACACGTCAAAGCTCCATTATATAGCCCAAAATATAATATAATGTTTACAAGTTTATCAATTTCTAAAGGTAAACCTGATCCTTAATGAACTATTTCATCATCCAGTAATGAATATTTCTTCTATATTGTTTATATAATTGATGTGAAGTGTCTATTTTGACGGCCTTGTTCCAAAGGAAAACAGCTCTTTGTAGTCATTGAAAGCATCACTGCAAATGAAACTTATTACTGGTAAACGAGATCATTTGAAATAATTACTCAATTTGTGTCTCAAAAATGAGTTTTCACATTAATGTTTGTAATGCTGCAGATGTGATCATCAAAAATGAAGTGCAAGGAATATAATTAGTTGAGGATATGGTACATGCATTAAGATCAAAGTGGTATACAGAAATTTGAAAATAATTTATGTTTCAAAATCTTGTGTACTGAAAATATTTAGTAAATAGCTTTATTGCAACTCTGATATAATGATTATTAAAAAAAAACCTTCGCTAGACAACTGAAAATATGATCTTCAGCAGACCAAGGTGAAACATATTCCCTGTTACAGATATAGTGTCATAAAACCTGAAAAAGGATTAAAGTTACATGGTATATATTAAATTCATTATCAGATTATCATTAACAAAATTTCATGTCCATTTCTAGTGATCTAGTTAATTTCATAAAATATACATCTGTTAATAGCTGGAAAACACGAACCGAATGTTACAAATTACATTAGTTTTCAATGATAGCGTTCATCAATTCTGATATTCATTTGTGTGGTAGTTTAAGAATTTCAAAAATTCACAAAATTCTGGAAAAATGATTATGGATTTCTGATCAAATATCAAGATCACAAGTATTTTAAAATTGAAAATTTTTACAGGAATGCAAGTTATATCCCAGCGGGTGAACCTATTCGCCTATCTCACACCGTGCATATTAAGATCCTTGATGTACCTTGTATCAATGGTAACCAAAAAGATATAGATTAATAAGTCTTTGTTCAAGAGTTATCTAGGATAAATCAGAGTTATATCAGCTGGGTGCCCAGAAAACATGTATATAATACCTAGAAAGTGAAGTCGCACCTATTAGATGTCTTTCTCTTATCGTATTTCAATCGTTGCTGAGCATATTCAGTTGGTAATACTGACAGGGTACCAAACTTATACAATTTCACTACAACCAGTTTGCCAGCTCTTTGACAAAGGATGTTCAGACTGAAGTTGATACATAAATAATTAAAATATTAAGAAAATCAAAAGAAATATTAAAATAAAAACATTTTCCCTTTTCCTGCATGGCTTCAATTTTGAGATTTCTCTACAAGAAACACCATTTCACATAGTCACAATATCCAGTGCCCCTAGAAAGATGGGGTACAGTATAACATAATAAAAATGGCAAAAGTAAATATAACATCTGTTAGAACCAGGAAGATACTGTCTGGAAACAGGCTTTGTATCAGATTTATAAAACCCAGTTGAAGCCATCCCCATTTTAATCAGATACACTTCACATGATAAAATTAGGTCTACTATACAGGTAAGGTCTCTGTTATAAAATATTCAATATTAGATGAATTTTAAGCTCATTAGTGATAATAAATTTGACAATGAAATCATTGCTGTGAACCAGTTCCTAATTTTGACAAGAATTGCTGACGTTATAGGGTACTTTTTACTGTACAATTGTTTTAACTTTGATATGCAGTCTGGTCTGACTGAAATCTAGAAATGCTGAAGTCAAGCAATACTGCAAGCAAAGCAAAACAACCTTATTCCTACTGAAGGTCCCTCATAGGTGATTCTTGATTGCCATGAAAGCCTACCTGGAATTTAGCAAAGTAGTGTTTACCACACAAATTACAAAGTGAATAAGAAAATCCAACACCAAATATGGCTACTGCTACTTAACAAAGGTCCCTGTGTCCGTTACAATAAGGTATTGAACAGGCCCCTGTGTCCGTTACAGTAAGGTATTGAACAGGTCCCTGTGTCCGTTACAATAAGGCAAATGGAGTCTATCAAACGGTTATTGCACAAACAGAGTATTGTCATTAGTGTTTTGAGAATATGAAAGAAAATGACGACGGCTCTTCCCATATCATCACATTTATCACAAGATGGTGGCTTTTCTGTAGCTACAGGTCTCTCCCATAGCCATCTGAATAACAATGAAACATTTCCATAGTTATGAAGTAATTTCACCTTTCATGTTTACACTTAAGAACTGTATTCAGGATTATAAGAACAACTTCTGTGATCCACGCAAATCTCTATCTTGGCAGAGTGGCCTTTTTAAGTGTTATAAATAAAGGGAGATAATAATTGTGATCCTTCTGGATATCAGCAACATGCATTCTTGTAGTCGGAGTGTATTAGCCAGAGTAATTCACAACTGCAGATTTCCGGTTAATAATAGAGTAAAATATATCTTGGTGCAGTGTTGGCTATCCTGAATCTTCATCATCGCCATGGTAACTCAATGTAGCTCCCTGGGGCTCTGTAACTTCTGTGCTTGGATCTTCTTGATCTAAAGATCTGAAAAATTAAAAACAAGAAAAATGTAATCAAATGTAAATTATGAAAACAATATGTATTTATAAATGTACTTAAAATAATTTTACTCATTTTATACAAATTAAAAATTAAGAAAAAAACCCAGAATTACCATTGATTAGTTTTTGTTAAATTCAGGGTAATGTATCACTTCTAAAGTAACCATAATCTCTTCTTTATTTCATCAGACTCCTGAACATGCATTACTAGGTATCATGTTATTATCACTGTATCAGATATACTTTTCTGAAACAATATATACTGGATATCATACCACACAATTCTGGAACAGAACATACCTAAACACTGGACATTATAATACCCTTCAGAACACCTCTGTAAAAGTCTTGCATTCTACACTAGATCTTTGGTATACGTTTTATCGTAACATGATAACTGCTGAAGAGTTGTAACTGAGCCACACATCATGTGTTTTAACTATGTTTTCCAAGAATCATAAAAAAGGACAGCATGAGCAGTTTACTGAGGTGTTGAGTTGGATACCACAATGCAAAATGAGAGAAAAAGGACATTTCTAGAACAGGCTATACCAGTCATTTCCGCACTATATACAGAACATACAAAACTTCAGGCAATATACAATACTTAATTTCTAATACAAAGAGAAAAGATTGGGATCTTTCACAGATATGCCCAACAAAACCCTGATGTCTGGTACTAGCATTCACTTAGTGTTCAAATGGGACTTTTGACACTGACCACAGTTAATCAATTATGAAAAATGATATGACCTTGCTGGAAACTAAAACTAAATCTAGAGTGTTTATACATCAGGTGCTATTAAATGTTAACGTTTGATCTCTCATTCGACTTCAATTATATGTACATCACTTCAGTCTACAATGCTTGTTGGCTAAAGCCTGCCCACTGGTTTTTGACAAGTTGTAAACATGAAATGATGAAACATTTTGTATGGTCTATAGTAAATGAAGATGGATTGAGATGGATGATTCAAACCTTCAGTCCAAATGATCCAAAAATAATATACTTTTTGCGTACAATTAGGTGAAAGAGGGAAAGTGTTTTAAACTTAAATCAAAACACAAACAAGTGCATATAAACAAGGGAAATTAAAATCAACTAAATCCTAATTTGGAAAAAATTCCTCTTAATTAATTCTCATCAATAAAGTATGTCACTGGGGGATAAAATGTTGGTATAAGAAACGTCAAACATTGATATGACATCAGACGATGACAAAGCCTGATAGTCTTAAAGTACTTCTGTATTCATATAGCAAGAATTTTTTCTCTATTTCAGGAACAGGAAGCAATTGTGAAATTTGTGTAAAAAGGAACCATACTAGTGATTATCAGGACCATAAAAAAATCTTACTTCAGATTCCAGATATATATCATTTCTTGTATATAATATTGTCATATTTTGTCACCTGAAATTTTCACCTTAGATTTGTAATTGCCTTTTTACTGTGTGATTGAAATATACTTAAATAAACCTAAGGGTCAAGGGTCAAATATCTGATAATTACTGATACATGAAGTAACATTTCCCTTTAAGGGCAATCACATTTACAAAGGGTTTGATTTGATGAATATGAGCTGGATAAAAGAGGAAGGTACAATGGGAAAACCCAACAGTCATAAAACAGTGAAAAAGTCATAAAACAGCAAAAAAGTCATAAAACAGCGAAAAAGTCATAAAACAGTGAAAAAGAGATATCAAGCATACCAAATAATAAAATGAAAAAATCTCCATGAGAAAAATAATTTTGATTTCCATCAGAACCTGTTTCGGATTATCGATAAATAACTGAATCTTGAAAATAAATATCAAATCATATAACAATCATAAAACTATTAAATGACAGTAATTCAATATTGCTGACTTTCATTAAATCACAATTTAAGTCAATTGAAATCAGATTTCAAGCATTAAGATCTCGGTCACTTATTAAAGGTATACCTTAAATACTTGTCCCTGGTCTCCAACCCCCGAGTCCGCAGCTGGTGAACTCCCGCCTACTGTCCCCTCCCTCACCCCCTTGACTCATATATATAGCAAACCATACCTAATAAACAATACATATAACTAAATACAATTATCTTGCTACCCTTTCAGATATCTTTCCTCAATACTTTTACAAAGTATCCAAACTGATTAATCCCTATTCCCCTCCCTTGCCCCGCACACACTGCCCCGTTTCTGTCTATAAAAGGTGCCCAGAAGGCCTGCTACACCAGTGGCAAGATAAATGGCAGAGATATGAAGGCTACATAAGACAACACTAGGACAGTAGGCGGGCGACAGGCAGGTGGGCGGGGTTACTGGGCACGTGGGGATGACGGCTCACGAGGACTTGTGTTTGTGGAAGCCATTTTGTAACGACGACGCCTGCAAAATAAAACATATGTCATGCACAGTAAATACCGTTGACTAAAACTGCCTCTTCATGAAAAATATAAAGTCAGAACAAATCTGCACACCTTCTATGTGACAACCTTCAGTCACCACACCTTCTATGTGACAACCTTCAGTCACCACACCTTCTATGTGACAACCTTCAGTCACCACACCTTCTACATGACAACCTTCAGTCACCACACCTTCTACATGACAACCTACAATCAGCACACCTTCTACGTGACAACCTACAATCACACACACCAACCTACAATCACCACACCTTCTACGTGACAACCTACAATCTCCACACCTTCTACGTGACAACCTACAATCACCACACCTTCTATGTGACAACCTACAATCAGCACACCTTCTACGTGACAACCTTCAATCTCCATGACAACCTACAATCACCTTCAATCACCACACCTTCTACATGACAACCTACAATCACCACACCTTTACATGACAACCTACAATCACCACACCTTCTACGTGACAACCTTCAATCTCCACACCTTCTACGTGACAACCTTCAATCTCCATGACAACCTTCAATCACAACCTACAATCACCACACCTTCTACATGACAACCTTCAATCTCCACACCTTCTACATGACAATCTACAATCACCACACCTTCTACATGACAACCTTCAATCTCCACACCTTCTACATGACAACCTACAATCACCACACCTTCTACACGACAGCCTACAATCACCACACCTTCTACGTGACAACCTTCAATCTCCATGACAACCTTCAATCACCTTCAATCACCACACCTTCTACATGACAACCTACAATCATCACACCTTCTACATGACAACCTACAATCACTACACCTTCTACATGACAACCTTCAATCACCACACCTTCTACATGACAACCTACATTTACCACACCTTCTACGTGACAACCTACAATCAGCACACCTTCTACGTGACAACCTACAATCACCACACCTTCTACGTGACAACCTACAATCTCCACACCTTCTACGTGACAACCTACAATCACCACACCTTCTACGTGACAACCTACAATCAGCACACCTTCTACGTGACAACCTTCAATCTCCATGACAACCTACAATCACCTTCAATCACCACACCTTCTACATGACAACCTACAATCACCACACCTTTACATGACAACCTACAATCACCACACCTTTACATGACAACCTACAATCACCACACCTTCTACGTGACAACCTTCAATCTCCACACCTTCTACGTGACAACCTTCAATCTCCATGACAACCTTCAATCACCTACAATCACCACACCTTCTACATGACAACCTTCAATCTCCACACCTTCTACATGACAACCTACAATCACCACACCTTCTACATGACAACCTTCAATCTCCACACCTTCTACATGACAACCTACAATCACCACACCTTCTACACGACAGCCTACAATCACCACACCTTCTACTTGACAACCTTCAATCTCCATGACAACCTTCAATCACCTTCAATCACCACACCTTCTACATGACAACCTACAATCAGCACACCTTTTACATGACAACCTTCATTCTCCACACCTTCTACATGACAACCTACAATCACCACACCTTCTACATGACAACCTACAATCACCACACCTTCTACATGACAACCTTCAATCTCCATGACAACCTTCAATCACCTTCAATCACCACACCTTCTACATGACAACCTTCAATCTCCATGACAACCTTCAATCACCACACCTTCTACATGACAACCTACAATCACCACACCTTCTACATGACAACCTTCAATCACCACACCTTCTACATGACAACCTTCAATCTCCACACCTTCTACATGACAACCTACAATCACCACACCTTCTACATGACAACCTTCAATCTCCATGACAACCTTCAATCACCTTCAATCACCACACCTTCTACATGACAACCTACAATCACCACACCTTCTACATGACAACCTTCAATCTCCATGACAACCTTCAATCACCTTCAATCACCACACCTTCTACATGACAACCTACAATCACCACACCTTCTACATGACAACCTTCAATCTCCACACCTTCTACATGACAACCTACAATCACCACACCTTCTACATGACAACCCACACCTTCTACATGACAACCTTCAATCTCCACACCTTCTACATGACAACCTTCAATCTCCATGACAACCTTCAATCACCACACCTTCTACATGACAACCTACAATCACCTTCAATCACCACACCTTCTACATGACAACCTACAATCTCCACACCTTCTACATGACAACCTTCAATCTCCATGGTACCTTCAATCACCTTCAATCACCACACCTTCTACATGACAACCTACAATCACTACACCTTCTACATGACAACCTACAATCACTACACCTTCTACATGACAACCTTCAATCTCCATGACAACCTTCAATCACCTTCAATCTCCACACATGACAACCTACAATCACTACACCTTCTACATGACAACCTTCAATCTCCATGACAACCTTCAATCGCCTTCAATCATCACACCTTCTACGTGACAACCTACAATCACCACACCTTCTACGTGACAACCTACAATCACCACATCTTCTACATGACAACCTA